CAAGGTCAATACAAAATGGCGGCGCGTATCCGTTGAAAGGCATTAACATTCCCCACTGATTTTCCTGCTTCACTCGGTTTTTCGGTGAAAAAAGTTGAGCGCATTTGCGAAACTTTTGACAAAAAGTGCATTGCGGGAGGAAACACATTTCATTTGGTGCTTTCTGATGGGAAAAACTTTACAGATCTGAGCCGAAGAGCAAAGAATACTCTGATTGCAGTGCGGGTATGTCCAGATTTCGATGGGTAGAAAGAAGTATAGGGGATCTAGACACTCCACTCTTGTTGCTCCTAGCTTCTGTGTTAATTAAAATGCTCCCATTTGCAGGCAAATATTTATCCACCACACGGATATACTTTGGTATATTCGATAGTTCAGCGACGTGCGAAAGTTGTTGAGCTTACAATACAAATTGGTAGATTGTGAGTAGACAGCACCACACAACCCCAGCCCCACCCCTGTGCTCTGCTCAATGGCTGGGATTATTAGAGGGTGTCTAGGCTCCACCCTCTTTGATGGACGCATTATGTTTACTCGCCTTTGGTGGTGTGTGTGTGAGGCTGCCTCTTGATATCTGCCTGGTCCTAACTCTGCACACACACACACATTCCTGGGCATCATTAATTAAGATGCACAAACAGGCCATATGTGAGATGTGTGTGGCGACTGATTGATACCTAATACCCCAAACACATCAATTAGCGAGAGTTTCGATCACTTGAAGATGCAATTTTGTAATGGATTTGCCGGATATTCATTTGAAACTGTTGATATGGCTAACAGATAGGGTTAGGTCAACAGATTTGCCAATGGTATTAACAATTTCCTAATTGAATTTCGGTTATTGCAAAGATTCAAAAGATTAGACCCCATGCTGAGTTTTCCCATTGTCCAGCTTTGTGTTAGCTGCTTCAAAGGGTAAGTGGAAAATTCCTTTGAGCTTTTCTTTATGCTCATTAGCTTTGAATTTATATGGATGTGGGGGTGTGTGTGTTCAGGCTTTACAGAAATTTAGGAACTCCGAAATTGCCTTCATGTGAGCCTCCCACTCTCTCCATTGCCAACTCCCATGGATGTTTGTTTGTAGCCGCTTGGTGTTTGTGTTTATGTGTGGTTTCTGTACCTCTGTGTGTGTGTGTGTGTGTGTGTGTGTGTGTGTTCTGGTGGCCAAGTTAATTCAATTTAATCAGCTGGGTAATTAGTTAGGGGACTGCTTTTGCTCTTGCTTTGGCTCTTGTCTCGCATAAATAGTTAATAAACAATTTCGAAACTTTCGAGGTTTATCCAATTTCCAGGCAAAAATAAACAGCAACTTGGAACGACAACACAGTACGAGAGGAGTACCACGTACTCGGAGCATTTCCTCTCTATAAATAATGCAATTTTCCCAGGAAAAGGCACAAGGATTGCTTTATTGATAGACTGTTCCATGAATTGTGTGATGTGTAATTACGAAATTGCAACTACGGCATCCTCTGGGTTGCAGTGAAAGTTATGCAAAGCCTCTGCAACGAATCTACTTTGAGGGCTGCAACAAACAACTGACCTTTGGCACTGTATCAAGCAATGTCCTTCCTGCTCGCCATTCAATTGAATTAATTTTGACCCATTTGGCCATTGGACCCCTCCCACCTCATCTGTCATGGCGATTATTTCCCCAATTACAAGATTTCTGTCATTTGAGTAATTACACGAAACGTTTCCCCGTAATCCAAAAATCAATAATTTGCCACAACGAAAGGTAAACAGATTTATATAATTTATTCATCTCTCTCATCTGTGAATTGTGTTTTTTGGGGTGGTCACTGGACGGGCGGGGCATTTTTACATCGCAGCAGCGACCTTCACACAGAAATGTAACCCGAAAAAAATATTGCAAGTGGCAAGTGGCAAATGGCAAACGAGCAGCAGCAGCAGCAGCACCAGCCCCAGAGCAACATTATTTAATAATACTCGTAAAAATCATAAAAAGTGAGTAATAAATTTATAAAACAAAAAAGTAAAGACGCAAAATCAACAGAGCGCAGATGTGGCTGATAAAAGGCAGCAAAACAATCGAAAGAGGCCAAAAGGAAAAGGCCTGTGCTTGTTGTATGAGGGAGTGGGGGGTTCTACAGAAGGCAGAGGTCTCTGTCTGTCTCTGTCTCTGGTTGTAGCTGCCTGTCTCTGTCTCTAGTTGAAGCACCCAGTCTCAGTCTCTGTCTCAGTCTCAGTCTCAGTCTCTGTCTCTGCTTCGGTGATATTAAGTGGCATGAACAATGAGTTTGGTCGTAACAGATTTATGATAGCTCAAGTTAATTGGCCAAACTGTGGGTGAAATTGATGGAAGTCGAAGTGCTGCTGCTCTCGGCCTGTCAAAGGGTGCAAAAGCTATATCAGACGTATCAGCTGTATTAAAGTGATGTTCTATGTGCAAATGGAATACCCAAACTGCAAAGAGTGCAGGCAGTTGTTTCACTGCCAAAGTTTCAACCATCAAAAACTCGTACCTTTTGCTCGTAATCGTACGATATGTATGCACGTGTTAAAATATGTCAGACCCTGTGAATCATTGACCCTCATCAAGTGTCTACGTCTACCCCAAGCCCTGCTCCTGGGTAGCAGCTCCAATTGAAAAGAGTGGAGATACGTGTATGTGTATCTCGTGTGCACACGGGTCAATGATATCGGGAAACGTTGGGGAGGTAGAGGGGATTTGCCATCATAAATGCATTTTGGCTGTAGGATAAAACGCTCTCACCGGTCTCCTCCGCCAATGATGATGATGATGATCCATTCATGCGCCCAACTAAAGAGCTTTTAGTTCACCCAAAAACCTTCTACCAGTAAATGGGAATGAATGTGGGTACCTATGCCAGGGTAGATCCACTGAAGGGTAGGGACAAATGCTAATTGGAGAATTGACACCCGTACCTGCTGTACCCTGTACCCTGCTGAATATCCTATCCCCCCTTGGTGTTGAATGACTCTGGAACAGATTGGCAGAGATATTCGAGTGTCTTTTGTGTTCCATTTTATTGGTGTTTTGCCCTCCCCCTACTTCCCCCCACACTCTCTCTCTCTCTCTATCTTTTTTCCCATCAACTGCACTCGCTCTCTCAGTGCTTAATAGAGCGTAAATAACAATGCTCTCCCTCTCTCTCTGCTGCACTCTCGATTTGTGTGCTTGGTTTTAGGCGTTTTAGTTTCTCTGCCATTTGTGCATTTATCAGTCGTAAATGATACCTGCCGGGGTTCAACGATTATCCACAATTTGATTTAAGTTTAAACCCGAGCAGTTAACCATAAACCAATGTAACCAAACGACTGTCCCTCTCCTCTCCCCTCTTGCTTATAATGTTCTCTTGTGTCTTTTGGGAGACCTGTTCCGGGGTGCTCTGCAATTTGCATGTGCACTATACATTTTAACGAATTCATTTGTTTGTGAAACGTGTGCCAGACAGTTCGACAAAGGGACAGACAGACAGGCGCACAGACAGCGCTGGGAGACAGTGGAACAGTGGGAGTGGGAGATAGTCGGCGAGACAGTGGAACAGTGGAACTATCAGAATTATGGTTTCAAAATTGTTTTCAGTGCTGCTGCTGAGGCCTATATTAAATGTGTATTTTCTGCTGCATTTACACACCTCCCCACCTACACACCCATCTCGCTCTCCCTCTCGCATATCTCGATCCACTTTTTCTTGTATTTATTTGTAGCATTTTTTCGTCTGTCGCATTTTATTTGCACTAAATTCCGTAATGTATGCTACTTTGTTGCTCTCGTTTGTGTCTGTGTGTTTGTTTGAACAGTGCCTGAAAAAAGTAAAACGTTTTTCACATATTGTTGAACATATTCCAAATGTTTTTGTTTTTTGCCCAATTCTGTATGAGAATGGTAAATGGAGGGGAATGGTTGAGGGAAATTCAATTTCTATTTGGTTTTTTTGGCGGAATATTATATTTATTTTATTTGCTTTGGGAATACTTTTAAATGCCTAAATGGAAAAAGACTAAAATATAATTATAGTAAGCCCCGTAATTGGTGGGGTTTATAGAGGCTGTGCTGGAAGGGTCGATTCTGCTTTCATATTTCCCCCGTTCAACCATCGATTTCAGGCGGACTATTGTTCGTATAATTTTCTTGTATTCTTTTTTTGTTGGTTGCCATTCCATATCATAATTTTCTTTGCTACTTATTTTTCCACTTTGTATACTCCGCCCACCACGCCCGCTCTTTCCTCTCTCTCCCGCCACCGATTATAAGCACCTTAGAAATCAGTTAAGCAGAAGAAACAGAGCAAAAAAGCGAACAACAAAGAAAGAGCAGGACAGAGAGGGGAGAAATCTGGGTTTGGGGTGGAGCACCAATTTGACCTTCAGCCCCGCGATGGCAAAATACTCGTTGAACGAATGAACGAACGAATCAGCTTTTCCTGACTTTGTTTTTGGGTTTTCATTTTTCATATTTCAAGCGTCGCTTCGATGGTTCCGTTGTTCGTGCATAACTTTAAGAAGAGGGAGATGGATAAAGAGAGAGATAGAGAGTGAGTAAAGTAGAAGAAACAAAGCAAGGAGAGGAGTCATAATAATGATCTTGAATGCTATGCAGATATTTATTTGCTTATTGGAAAGGATTTTTGGCACTCATTTAGATTCATTTCATTTACAAGCCTTTCTTCCACTCTTTCAAACTCATTTATTTCAAACGTTTTGCTCTCCAAATATGAATAGGTTTTTGGGCCACTTCAATCTGCCACAGCAGTCCCCGCATCTCTGTTCCCATTTCTGGCTCTATCTCTACTCCCAGTGCTGCCCCCCCCCCCCCCTTTTCGCATACAACTATTCAAATTGCAATCCCAGACTAGTTCCACAATTGCAATCCACTCTGTGGTGTAGTAGGGTTCAGGGGGAGCTTGGTGGGGTGGGGAATATGTACACGAAATTGCTATTCCTTTACCCCCCGACCCAACAGCGAGTGGGCAGGGAGGTAGGTCTATGCCCAAACCATGGAGGAGCAGCACAGTCCAGACGGATAAGCCAAAAACTGTTGTTTAAACAAACTTGCAACAACAAGGATGGAGAGCACACACACACACACATGCACAGAAAGAGAGACAGAGACAGCAAGAGACATGTACTGGTGGAGGAAAAGTTGACTTGGCATCGCTTTTGGATTGAATTGAATTGCATGGAAAAAAGAAGAAAGTACGCGGGACTGGTGCTAGTTGGCCTTAAAACTTAAAATGCAACAAGGAGGAGAATTGGAGTTGGCAAGAAGCGAATGAAGAGTGTGGTGAACGAAATGGGAAAAGCAAAAAACAAAAACAAAAACAAAAACTAGACCTAGGCAAGAGTGGAGTAGAGTAGAGTAGAGGAACAACAGTAACAGCAACTAGGCTGGTTGGTAACAGTCGAACAACTGCAAATGGAGAGTGGAGATTGCAGAGCGGAGAGCGGTGGGAGACTGGCAACAGCAAAAGCAACAAATTAAGCATTGCTTTCGGATATCGAAGGTGTAGTAGATACCCTGGCAGATCCATATGCCAGATTGAGGATGCAATATTTCTACGACAGTCATTCGATGTTGATTAAATGTGAATGATTAAGATATTTGACAGATAAACTAATTCAAGTCAGAAATCCGACTATATGCTGAAAATGTTTAAAGTGTCAGCTAGATAAAGCTGTCCCATTATTGTTTTTATTACTTGAAGGAAGTTCTTTAAAATGAAACAAAAAAAAAGAAAATGTAGGGTGTTTGAGGAATCGAAAGAAACCATTTGGAAAATATAATCCAATTTGGGGCCTGCTATTGCCCGTGGCCCCTTTACCTTTAGCTTGCTTCAACACACAAAAAATTGCCATGTACCGTACCGTACAGTACATAATATGTCTGTATGGATACGTGTGTACATATGTATGTATAAATGTACGTACATATTTATAACGTTAACTTGCATTTTGGATTTTATGTTTTCCTCTTCACATTCGGCTTCTCCTTTGCACAGTTACCCCCCGCACCCCTTGCCAAGCTGCCAGGCTGCCAGTCGTTCTTGTTTTTGGCATCGCTCTCTCTGCTTTGCTTTGTCCCACTTTGCCTCTGTCTCACTCTCCCGCTCTTGCTGTTTTTGCCTCGCTGATGGGTGTGTGTTTGTGTTTGTGTGTGTGGTACAAGAGTGTGAAACGATGCCGTGGGGCGGGGGATTTAAGCTCCGATTCAAGTGGCATTGAAAACTCTTTTTACATTTGACTCGAGCGACACTAGAGAGAATGTGATGCGGAGTGGGGTGGGCCAGCATGGAGCGGGGAGCTGGCTGGGATGGGTGGCAGACTGGCAGACGAGGTGTCGTTGGGTGCAACATTTTGAAGCAAACAAGCGGCCAAGGATCATTAGATATGCATCTGCATGCATTAGTGGTTTTATTTTTTGCGGCATCAGCACACAGCTACCTGTCCCTGCACCTTCTTTGTGTGGCAGGTGACGCATCTCGCGTGTCTCCCCGCAATTTGATTGGCAAAGAGAAAGGAGAAGACAGGGCGGTACCTCAACTTGTTGCAATTAATTTTTCAAACATTTTAAACTTTTTTCAAACACAAAAAAACAAAATCCTTTGTGAGGTTAAAACCGCTCTCTCCGCCGGCACGCTGCCACGCTCTGGCTGAAGCCTCAGCTTTCGCTTGTTCTCTTCCTTATTATTCATTCAAAATAATTCTGTGCATAAATTCAAGGATGCCAACCCTCAGCCCAAGCAAGCAAGCAACAAAAAAGGGCCAACAACTAACCCTTTTAGTAAACTGATGGAACTGATGCCTCGCCGCTACAGGAAACCCAAGCCAACCCACTGCAACCCCCTTTTCGGTGACCTCGGCAATTAAATTACACAAAAGCTTGTTTGAGTTGAGCGAAAGGAAAAACACACCACACGCAAAAAAAACACAAAAAGGAGGAGACGGCACAAAGGATAAGGAAATGTGCCAGAGAGAAGGAAAAATGAAATACATAAGGAAAAATGTCAGTTGACTGTAGAAATTTACAGTTGAGGGCATTTTTAGGGTTGCCTCCTCTGCCATTCAGGCTCGTTTTGTGGCCAAAATGAAGAAAGAAAGAAATATAAAAGATCTTTGACAGAATAAATGAGAATAAAAGGGAGGAGGAGCAGCAGCAGCAGTAGAGGAGAATGGAGTGTATCAGTTGCGACATTGAAAGAGAGATGCAGAGAGACAGAGAGGGGCAATGAGGGGCCCGGAATATTCTGAACCAGTTTAGGCACTTTCAATGATGTTTTAAAAGAATAGTTCGCAGTTCTGAAATGGCTCCGAAAACTTTAAAATATTTTTCAATTAAATTTACTAAAGCTCTGCCAATGTTTGCTTTTACTTTGATTTATTTTAAATGTTTCTAACGAGCTTCAACAGTTACCCTGCTTTAGGATTTAAATTTTTCTTCCATTTTCAAGTGTCAGCTAAAGATAATTTCCTTATGATTAGCCAGAGAAATGGCCTGTCATCACAGCCGCATGGCGAGTTTTCTTTCACCTTTTGTCATAGAAAAATTATTAGCCTGTGACGACACATTAAGCTGTCCATCTCCTGCTTGCCCCCCTTTGTTTCCCCACTGTTTCACTCATTTTCTTTCACTGATTTTCTTCATGTCATTTTCCATAATTTCCTAGGCGCCGGCCGTTGTCTCTGCTGCTGCAGCTCCTCCGCTGCTCTTTCCCCTGCTCATTTTCATTAATTTGTCATTGTAATTTTATTCACCGCTTCTTTGGCCTGCCCCCCCCACCGCCGCATTGCTCAATTTCCAACCCCATGCCCCGTGAATAAATCACCGTTCAGTGAGGCGCTCATAATCAGTCAATGTGCCGTGCAAAATTATGCAGACTTCGCTCCTCCTGTTCATCGTCTCAGTCCTCCCTGTCAGTGCATCTCTTTCACACTCGCTTGCTATCTCTATTAGTAGGTAGATATTTCCCTCTCTCTCTCTCTCTTTCCCTCTTGAATGCATTTTATTTCGTTTTATTGCTGTGACAAGCAAGTTCCGCATTTGGCGTTTCCCCCCCCAATACCCCATACCCTTACCGCAGAGGGTAACATAAATTGAAAGCAGGGAAATAACTTCAGAGATATGCAAATGATAATCTGTTACTTTGTAATCCGCATTAGAATCACATTATAAACCCATTTACGACTCTACAAAACTCCAATTTATTCTTTGAAAATTGATGGCTGAATCGAAAATTATTATTTTAGGATAAAGATATTAAATTGATGCTGGAACATATTACCACCATATCCAAAGTTCAATGAAAACTTGGACTTGAGGGTATTTGAACTTTCGACTTTTAATGTTTTTCTATATTTTTCTTGCCTTTCTTTTCTTGGCTGCCTTCTTGTTTCTTGTTTTTGCCGTTGGCTTTTTACATAATTGATTATCTGGCCTCTGACTAGACTTGAAATTTTTGCAGTTGTCCAGTGGACGCCGCCAGTGCACCCCTGCCAATGGCTTGAGAAATACAACCTCATGATGATCCCCCATTATCATCAGCCTCTCATTATCAGCCACATTGTTTTTGCTTCTCCTTCTCTCTCTCTCTCTCTTTTTTTTCCTTCTTTTACCTGTTTTGGTCACTTCTTTGGCTCTCTATCTGCTGGCCACTTGTTCGTTTTTCTTTCGATTTGAACTTTTTAGAGAGAGATAGAGAGATTTTTGCCATGAAATGCAGTTGACAAAGAGTGTAATTTCGTTGTACTTTAGTTTTCTTTTTCTTTACTTTGGGGGTGGGTAAAACTATTGCCAGACTCGTGCAGAGGCAAAGAGAACACAGCGCAGAGGCAGCAACATCGAAGTTGAAATAGAGTGGAAATGCAAGGCCGGAGCCAGAGTGGGGAGTGGACAGAACAACGTATCCACTGAGAACTCAACCGAGAACAACTGACAAAAACTGACAAAGTGCCGGAGTCGAGGAAAATAGTTTTGGGCAGGAGTTTTCCATCCTCTGCCACTGGCAACTTGTTCTTCTGTGCTTCCTCTGTATCTTGTTATTACTTTTACATTTCTTGTTCGCTTTAATTTAATTTCCGTTTACCTCTTTGGCTTTTTTACTCTCCGGGGTTATGTGTGTTAAATTTAAATTAGTGGAAAATTACATTTTGGCGCGGGGGCAAAAGGGGAAACGGAAATGCATTAGAGATACTCGAGAATCAGGTCGATGATTGCCAAGTGCAACTGCAACACACACACACACACACACACACACACACACAACTGTGGCTGTATAACTTCATAATCTGTGTGACTGTGGGTTGGGGCGAGTCCTTTGACAGGTTTGCGGATGATGCCACTGCTGGATGCCATTATGCTGGGCTACGGCCACTGGGGCAAGCCAAGGAAATTGACATGGGAAAAGTGGGTGTGTTAAGGAAATTGGTAGGTGGATATGTAACACTGGCTCGATGCTGTATGCTGGATGCCACTGACATGTTGGCAGCCATCAGGCAAGAGCCATGAGTGTATGAATGTGGGTGCACTGAAGGTATTCAACTCCTTGAAGGAATGCGGAAAACGATGTCGAAGAATCTTTTGCGACAACTTCTGCAGAAGGACAAGCGGAGATACTAAAAGAAAACGGGTATTATGACCAAGTACTACTTGAGGGAACATGGAACACACTTTAATATGTACTTGAAACTGCCAGGGAGCACCAGGACATGGTGCTCCTCCAGCTACCTCCGCTTATCCCTGCCATAATCTGGTTGTATGTGCGTTCATTTTGTTGCTGTTCATTCAACGATTGCCACATAAATATGCATTTATTATTTATAATCCACTACAAATATATTACAAACACATGTTCATGTTCATGTTCGCTGCTCTCGTGTCGCCTTCGCCTCGTGGTTTATTCATATTTAAAGCTTATCCATATGGTGGTTAAAAAAGAAGTCCTTAACCCGTCGGTGCACACCTCCAGACACCCGACATCATCATCATCATCATCAGTCTGCGTAAATCCCCATAATACCCTGACATTAAATTAGCCACCTGTCCCTCAGCCTCCGCCCCCTTTTTAGCTGTAGTTTTCCCAAATGGCTCCAAGCCGACTTCTCTCTCTCTCTCTCTCTCTCTCTCGCTCTGTGGCTGCTTGCTCTGTCACTCTGTCTCTTGGGCTGTCACGCGCTCTCTCTCCAGCTCCAGCTCCATCTGTGCATCTCCATCTCTGTCTCACATTTCGAGTAGGTGTTAAGCTGTGCTTTTGATAATGACGCACATTACATATGCAACACGAGCTTTTGCTTCCGGGCTCTTGGCTCTCGTATCTCGTATCTGCCATAGTCTCTGCCACTTGCTCCTTCCTCTGCCTCTGCCCAAAAGGCGGCAAATGTTTTTCTACTCCTCCTCTTGTGCCTCTCTCCCACTGCCATGTGTGTGCTAGTGTTTTTGTATCTTTATTTAGCTCGGAATTTGTTGCACTCCCACAGGACTCGATATCACATTTAAAACACCTGCCGCCATGGAGCATTTGTTTATCCATGTTTGCTTTTTCCCTACTGTCGCATATGGGTACTATAGGAAATGGAAAAGAAGACCCTCCCTGTGAGAATTCACAAGTTATAGTATGGCAAATGTGGGACTAACTTTCGCTGGGAATATGTAGTACAAATAAGAATAGAGTTTATACGGGTATGAGGTCTACTTGTGTAGCAGGAATAGCAGGAATTGTTTGTCTTAAAGAGCACAAGATGGGGCATGAAAGTGTCTCCTTGCAAATCGTACTGCTGAATACTGAATTATTTGAGTGTAATTCGTGCCCTGCCCGTCCTTCTCTTGGTCATCTCTAAACACAATTTCGCGCGGCAGCGAGAGCTTTCCGCAATGGCCAAAGAAAAGTGCGAAAAGCTGATTTAATTTGATTTCCATGCAAATCACATTTCAAACAACTAAAAAAACACAAACAACTTGGCTCCATTAAAATGTTGACAAAATTAAACAAAATTGACAATTTCCGGTGTACAATATACACTACCTCTCTCCCTCTCTCGCTCGCTCTCACGCTCTTAAGCTATATTAAGTCACTCCAGAAAATGTTGAAGGGAGAGCTCTTGCCTCCTGGCTGCCTCTTTCTTTCAACTCCTGCCACTGTCTCCGCTTCACATTGTGCTCCACTTTCCCATCGGTTGACGGGACGAGGCGGGGCCAGGAGGTGGCAACCTTTTGGCACGGCACAGAATGCGCGCATATTTAAATTTTAATTAAAATTTTCTTGGGGGCATACCTTTTCCTCCCTGTGCGGTGTGAGGTGCGGGAGTGAGGCGTGGGGTGTTGTGTTTCCATTTCGCATTCGCGCGCCTAAAAATATGCAAATAAAAAGTGCCTTCGGGCGAGTGTCAGAGAAAGGGACATAGCGAGGGAGAGAGAGAGAGAGAGTGGAATCCTGTTCTGATTTCCGATAGCCTTCTCGTTGAGAGCTGACTGTGCACAGAGAGTGGAGGTGCCCCTAGGGGCATGCCAGCCATGGGTATAGATGCGGATGACAGAGCTCCTATTTGTTTGTGTGTCTCTCTCTCTCTGACGCTCTGAAAAGAGCAAAAATTAATTAACTCGGTAACTGCAACCCAAACACCCGTCACCCACACACGATTTATCGTTAATAAACAACTCAATTCTCAAAGGGAAATCGAAGGGAATTGTAATTTTGGTTGTGTGTGTTTGAAAGGGAAATTCAATAAAGCACAGCAGAAAGAAAAAGAAAGAAGGAACTTCCAATAAAAAAATCAACGACAAGTAATGCCAATGAGACGGGAATTTACCAAATGAAATGCTGAGAGTTACAAGAGTAAATCAAGCTTCGCTTGCCAGTGTTGAATCGCAGTTTCCAGTGTTGAACACGGAACATGTCAAAGCCTTACACAACTGCAGTTATCCAAGAACACATTTCCTTACACTCAGCACAAATGTTGCATCTGTGTGTTGACTCCTTAAGAAATTATTTCCAGTCCAAAAGCGAAGCTTGGGGAAGCATCTTCCTGCCATCTGTCATATGGTTTTAGCCATTGTCTGCTGTTCATTGGAGGCGACTGACTCCGTATATGAGGGGAAATAGATTTATATGCAACTTGTTTTCCACTACCCAGAGTTTTCCCCACCACTGCTCCTTGCCAGTTGCCTGAACTGAAAAGCAAGCAACTTCTTCTTTTGCTGTTCATTCTTCACTTGTTTTCTCTCCTTTTTTATTCGTATTCTGCTGCTGCTGTGCTGCTTCTCTTTTATTCTGTTGCTTCTTCAAGTTGCACGAGAATCTGTTTTCGACTGTTGGCATTTTTTCTTTTTTGGGTCTTTGTAGCTTTGGGTGGAACTTTTGGGTGGAGTGAGACAGAATGCTGGTTGCAATCCACAAAAACCGCCAAACGGTGCGGGACGGAGGGAGCGTAGCGTGGTGGCGGGGAAGGACTGACTGCTGGGAGTGGCTGCCGTTGAGGAAGAGCCTCGAGAGAAGCCTCTCAGTGTTGGCCACAATTTGCCATGTAAATATTAATGCCAGGCTAGACAGGGCCCAAAGGGAGACCAGGCAGCAGGGACTATAGAGTAGTACCTGCTGCCAACGTTTGTACCCAATTTTTCAAAGCTCGTTTGTGTCGTTAGTTGGTTGGTTGGTTGGTTGGTTGGTTGGGCTGCTCTTGCAGTCCCTAGTTTTCCCTCTGCCTCTGGGTTCTGGCTATGCAAATAATGAATGCAAAACGCCAGAGGGAAACCAGAGAGACGGAGAACAAGAGAGCTCGAGCTCGAGCTCGAGCTCCACAGGCCAAGGGGATGCCTTAACCCTAAGCTCATTGACGGAGATGTTTTTGCTAGTAATTAGATTTTTGTGCAATTAATTTTTATCAATTTTGTTTTGCCCTTCGTTGCAGGTGAATCCTTCAGATGAAATGCTGAGTGTTGAATGCAGTTACCCACGAAAATGGAAAACTCCATGCAAATCGGCAACTGTGAAAGTGAAAATGGTTGAGGTGGATCCTTGACTTCAACTTGAAACTGAAATACTCAAAAGAGACAAAAACATAAGTGCAATCTATTAAATAATTAGAAAATGAGATTATGTGAAATTAGACAAAGAAATTATAAGAAAATAACTTAAAATAATTGTGAATCTATTAACAATATGAAACCCAAGATATAAACATTGAAATTATCAATAAAATGTACAGAAAAGGTGTTTAAAACTATAAAAAAATCAAAGTTATTGTGGGATTGTCGAAATAAAATCCAACTTATATGAAATATCAAACATTGAAAGTGATTTAATAAAATAAATCCCATTAAAACAATTAACTTAATTTATTAAAAATTAAAGAACGTGCAAAAACTTATTGAATAAAATCCCGATTGAAAAGGGATAACCAATGTCAAAAGTTGCCCATTGAAACGATGGATAAAAGGCTCAGCGATAGTCCCGGAGATTGTCGCGTAACCAGATCCAGCATGACGCCCACCCTCCGCTTGGAGCACAGTCCTCGGCGGCAGCAACAGCAACAGCAGCAGCACCACCACAATCATCACCATCAGCAACCACATGAACAACAGCAACCAGAGTGTAGTGGCACATCTGCAACATCAAAAGCAAAATCCAAATCCAAATCCCCCACACCTCCCACCAAATCCCAAACGGGGGCCGGTGCCCCTCAGCAGCAACAGCAGCAGCAGCAGCAGCATCATCAGTTCCGTGCCCCGCAGCAGCAGCAGGGACCGAAGAACAAGAACAAGGCCTGGAGCAAACGGGGCCACAACAAGACAAGCGGCAAACACAGTGCCAGCGCCTGTGTCGGCATTGCCCAGTCGCATCCCAATGGCAGCAGTGGGGCAAGTGGCGGCGTCGGCCTGGCTGGTGCGCAACCTCCGGCTGTGGGTGGCGGCGGACAGCTGCCCACTGTGGCGGCGGCCCACAAGGCCGATCTGGAGAATATACAGAATATCAAGAATCAAATATCCGGTAATGTGAACCATCATGGCGGTGGCGGCGGCGGTGCGGCCTCCCATCATGGTGGATCGCATCATGGTGGTGGCACTGGAGGCAGCGGCGGTGGCGGGGGACACCATCATCATCACAATACGCGACTGGCGCAGATTGCCGCCGGCACCGTGGGTGTTGGCGGTGGCAATGGCATCTCTATTGGAGCGATGGACAAGCACGGACTAAAGTCACAGCAGCAGCTCTACAAGAAAATGCTGGCGCACAGGTGAGTGGGAAATCCGTTAGGTTACGTTTCGTAACGGCATTCGGAAGTCAGCGAAATGGAGAGCATCCTATGGGGGTAAGCTTGTAGGTGTATGACACTTGCTTAATGATTTCAGTGACTGTGATTGAGTTAATGATTAAATTCGATGACATCCACCAATTGGCGGAGAAAAGAGGTTCTGTAGTGAAGAAAAGTAGCAAAGAATGTCAAGAAATAATTAAGCGAGTGTCATATGGGTACACGTGAATTCCCTCAATCAAACGAAATTCCATTCCATTCCATTCCTTTGCTCATTTCATTCAATTTTCTTGACTCCTCAGGGGCCATCATCATCATGTGCTGTGCGCCGGAAACAATGCCAATCACACGTGCTGCCTGGTCACCGGATGCAATGGCACCAGCGGCGGCGGAGGAGGAGGAGGCGGTGCGGCAGGTGGTAACAGTGGACTCAATGCCACGGGTGGTGGCGTCAATTCCTGCAAGGATGCTCAGAGTAACAAGGACACCAGCTCTCTCAGCGGAAACAGCAACATCTCGGGCAGTGCAGCAGCTGCCGCAGCGGCGGCCAATGCCGTGCACTACTGCTGCGGACGGTCCAAGTTCTTCCTGCCGGAGAAGCGGCTGCGGAAGGAGGTGATTGTGCCGCCCACCAAGTTCCTGCTGGGCGGCAATATCTCGGATCCCCTCAACCTCAACTCGCTGCAGCACGAGAACACCTCGAATGCCTCGAGCAGCAACAACACGCCGGCAACGACGCCGCGCCAGTCGCCGATTACGACGCCCCCGAAGGTGGAGGTCATCATACCGCCCAACATCCACGACCCGCTGCATCTGCTCGATCCCGTCGACTCGATGGAGTACGAGAAGCAGCTGACGTCGCCAATGAAGCGGGGCGGCATGCTGACGCGTGGCAGCCACCTGAAGTTGCAGGCACAGCCGCAGGCCCACCATCGCCAGCACAGGCCACGGAAGAACCGCAAGCGGAGACGTTTCGACTCAAACAACACCTCGCATGCGGGCGACGATGGGGGCGAGGGCAGTGAAACGCTTTCCGTTTCCTTGGATGATGCGGGGACCTCCTCCTCGGCTGCGTCCCCAGTGGCGCCGCTCAATGCCGCTGGCTCTGCCGCTGCTGCGTCCATCAGTTTGCTGCTGAGCGAAGCCGCCGCACCGGCATCCGCATCGGGTGGAACAGCGGAAATGGGCCAGCAGCAGGCGCATGTGCGCTCTCCCCAGGCCCTCACCATGGCGACGGCAGAGATGCCGGCACCCACGCTCACAGAGGCGGCTGTTCCGGCAACGGAACAAATGGAATGCAACATGAGTCTGCTCTCATCGCCGACAGCGCCGCCAGCTGCATCGTCATCACCGCAGCAGCAGCAACAGCAGCAACAGCAGCAGCAACAGCAGCAGCAACAACAACAGCAGCAGCAGGAACATGTGCCCATTGCAGTGTCAGAGGGGGCTGCGACAGCGGCTGCCCCCACAGAACTGCTGCTGAGTGCAGCAACATCTGCGTCGACCTCGGCAGCAGCCCTGGCTGTGGCCTCGACACTGGCCGAGAGGCGGGCACAGGCCAGCCGGGATTTGCGCCTGGATTTAAGCAGCACGTGCTACGGCGTCGGCGGCACAGGTCTCAGCTTTGGCAGCAGCAGCGCGGCCAGCGTGGGCAGTGGTAGCGGCAGCGGCGGCGGTGGCAGGAAGAGGAAAATCAGCGAAAGCAACAACTCGCAAAAGAGCAAGGTAAGAGGAGAATCCCTCGGGATGAACACATATCTAAAGAAGTTTTCTATGCATTTTTCACAGAAATTCCATCGTCACGATGGCATGGACAAGATCGTGAGTCCGGTGGTGCCACAGCCAGGTGCATGGAAGCGTCCGCCACGTTTGCTGCAACCCAGCGGGGCACGGAAACCAAACACGCGACGATCCACGTCCTTCAGCGAGACGGAAGTGCTCAGCCCCATAGAGGAGCAGCCGCCCAGACAGTTGCCACTCATAGAAGGTGAGTCGAAGGCCTCAACCCATTTAATCCGCTAACTAATCCCGATTTCCGCTTACAGTGAACATCCCACGCGATGATACGCCAGATTTGTCGGAGCAGGGCCTGGGCAGCCCGCTGAGCACCACATCGGCGGCCACGTCGCACACGGCCGGGGAGCAGGATTCCCTGCTGCCGGACACGGCCACCACGGCCAGCAGCGGCAGCGAAATGGAGACAACAGCAGCAGCAGCGGGGTTGCTGGTGCAGCCGAAGCTAGAGGAGCCCACGCTGATGCTGGAACCGGCGTTGATACCCCCGCTCCATAAGCTGCCCAAGTTCCGGGCGGATGGGGTGAAGTATCGCTATGGCAACTTTGATCGCTACGTGGACTTTCGGCAGCTGAACGAGTTCCGGGATGTGCGGCTGCAGGTGTTCCAGCGGCATGTGGAGCTCTTCCAGAACAAGGACATCCTGGACATTGGCTGCAACGTTGGCCACATGACCATCACGGTGGCCCGCCATCTGGCGCCAAAGACCATCCTCGGCATCGACATTGATCGGGAGCTGGTGGGACGCGCTCGGCGGAATCTGTCCATCTTTGTGCGTATACCCAAGGAGGAGAAGGTGAAGGTGGAGGTAAAGCAGGAGCCGACGACGGGGCAGCTGGTGAAGAGCGAACCCATGGACGAGGAGACAGCTGCCGGGAGTCTGCACAAGAAAACGCGACGCGGCAAGAAGCGGCGAAAGGCGCAGCAGGATCAGCAGCTGCTGCTGCATCCGCACCACCATCACCACCACCATCATCACCATCATCATCACCACCACAATCATCAGAATCAGGAGCAACTGCAGCAGCAGCACAAATTGGATGCACTGCTGGTGAAGCCGCACGAATTCTTCCCCATCTCATTTCCGCTGACGTACGGCGGCATGCCGCAACTGCCGCCGCCGGCGGGAAAATCCCCAAACCTCTCGAACAAGAATCAGTTCCCGGCGAATGTCTTCTTTCGGCAAACGAACTATGTGCTCAAGGACGAGTCGCTGATGGCCAATGATACGCAACAATACGATCTCATTCTGTGTCTCTCCGTGACCAAGTGGATGCACCTGAACTTTGGCGACGCTGGTCTCAAGCTGGCCTTCAAGCGAATGTTCAACCAGCTGCGGCCGGGGGGCAAGCTTATTTTGGAGGCCCAGAACTGGGCCAGCTACAAGAAGAAGAAGAATCTGACGGTAAGTCGGGAATCATCCAATAAAAGGGTCCCAAAATTAATCGCTCCTCTCTTTTGCAGCCGGAGATTTACAACAATTACAAGCAAATCGAATTCTTTCCGAATAAATTCCACGAGTATTTGCTCAGCTCCGAGGTGGGATTCAGTCACAGCTACACCCTCGGCGTGCCACGTCACATGAACAAGGGCTTTTGTCGACCCATTCAGGTGAGTTTTGCCACAGTCCTCCACGGCATCGATTACTAACCCGCATTTTCCGCTCTTTTATGCAGCTGTACGCCAAAGGCGATTACACACCGAATCATGTCCGATGGAGCGATGCCTATTATCCACAGACGCCGTATGAGGCATATCGTGGCATTTATGCCACCTTGCCGGCGCATCGCATGGGCGGCGGAGGCAGCAGTGCCGGTGGCAGCCACAGCGGGCACGCGCCGCTGCTGCACATGAGCAGCTCGAGTCGGTCGCAGAACTACGATACGCCACACTATGCTGGCAGCGCCTCGGGGTCGGCCAGCTTGCGGCAGACGCCGCGCTACCAGCCCACCTACAATCCCCTGGAGACGGACTCCTACCAGCCCAGCTACGACATGGAGTCGTATGGCGGCAACCACATGTACGTGTTCGCCTCGCCGCTCTACCAGACAGTCTGGTCGCCACCGGCCTCGCTGCGCAAGAGCTCCTCGCACACGCCCGTCTTTGGCAGCGTGCGAGAGGCGGAGCTGGACGGTGACAGCAGCATCGGTGGCGGCGGCAGCGGCGGTGGCAGCTACCACAGGCACGTCTATCCGCCAAACGATGACACCTGCTCGCCCAATGCCAACTCTGGCAATGCGTTCAACTCAATACGCGATGCGGACACGGATGACTCGAATCAGCTGCCCAGCGGCAGTCGGCCACATGTGTATGCCACCAATTGTGGCGAGAGCTCATCGTCGCCGCAGGTGAACCATCACGAGGCCACCGCCGAGTTTGTCGAGGATGGCCTCATGGATGATGAGCAGAAAACGCAGGTTGCCGGCAGCACGCCCACCACTGCCTACCACAGTGATCTATCGGATGCCTGAGCGGGCAGGGTCGGGGGCGGCGACTGCACGAAGACGTCGCGAAAGAAAGAGAGGAAAGAAAAATGTGTCAAAAACAAAACAAAAAGAGAAAAACGTATAAAAAAGCAAAAGAAAAATGCAAAAATTGTTGCAAACAAAGCAAACAAAAATATGTAACCGTAAACGAGACGCTTATGATTTATTTGTACGTATACATATAAAAAATATATATATATGGTAGTAGTAAATAAACGCATCTATATATATTTTTATATATTGTAATTTAAAGATATATACCATATAATAATATATGTATACCGATATACAGATGAATGTGTTTATAGGTGATTTTGTAGATTAGCTAACGATTTTTGCTAGAATGCTTTATGGTCAAGTTCTGATTTGATCCTTGTTGGCGCGGTGTGGCTCTTTTATGTAAAATTATAGTTTCAACGCAGACACACAACACAAACACACAAAAACACACACACAACAAGCTGTAGCTTTAAATTGTGCTATACAAAAATGCTTAGTGAATATCCGTATCTGTATCTGTATTATAGCAACGGAGAAAAGAATGTCAAGAAAACTCGCTGTAAAATGCAACTATTTTTGATCAACAATTTTTGGCAAAAGCAAAGAAACAAAGCGAATGTGAAAACCATAGAGAGTACCATATACGATATAATATTATAGTGTGTATAATAAATTCTGTGGCAAAAGCAAACAAAATACAATACGATACTTACAATATATGATAAATAATATATGATGATTGGTTATATTAAGTTGTGTAAATGAAAGCAAACAAGGGAGGATATGCTTAGGCCAGAATTAAGAGTTAGTTGTACGTTTTAGGCGCAGGGTTACCGCTTAGCAGCATGTTTAGCATTAAAAGCTCCTTCAGCAATAGTAGGCGCGTTGTTGTTGCATCATTGAACAGCAATAAATAATTGTATTGTATGTTCCCATGTAGATACATTTGTATTGTATGTATATTCCCCCCCAAAAATGTGGTATCCCCTACCCTATTTCCCACCTTCCAGAGAGCGCGGTGATTTGTGGGGAGAACAACATGTTTTTATCTATGCTGTGTTTTTAAAACATCTTTTGTAGGTTTTTTTTCTGAGAAAATGAACACATTTATAAATTATATATAAAAGAATTAAAAGATATATATAAATATACATATAGAAATAAATTTGCAATTATATGAAGAACATTTTTGTGAGGAGTTGTTTTTTCTATTGTGTTGTGGATTTTGAAATGAAGAAAAATCGCTAAATCGCTGTTCAAGCCAACATGTCAAAACAAACAAATCACATGTTATGCAAATGAATGATCTTTCTATATCTTTAGATTTTAATTAAAAGATCTCGGTAAAAAAGTATGTCTGTGGTATCTATTCACTCCAAAGCTTTGCCTTTTCAGAAGCTAAACATTTTGAACTTCAACGTCTCGTTCAGAGAAAACCAGTTTGAGCTCCGCTCGATCAGCTGTTGGTTTTCTCTCTTTTCTGCTTTCCAGTCACACGCTCATTCACTCATTCCACTCATTCTGTGCGTCGCGAGAGCGAGATCTTTCTCATTGGTTTGAGCGTAATTGCGTTTGGTTTGAGTGCAAGAGAGAGAGATACAAAACTGTCGAACGTCACTTAAGCAGCAGACAAAAAAAAAACGTTGCGCGAGCCACAGTGGAGAAGGAGGGCGCTGTCTTCAATTAAAAGAAAGTTTAATCCAGTGCATTAAATAAGTACATAATTCAAGTGAATTGAAATCAAAGTGTGTTGGTGCAGCAGTGGGTGCAAAACGTGCTAGAAAATCTCTTTAGTTTGCCTCTGCTTTGTGTCACATTCACTCTCTGGCTTGCTGACTCTCTCTTTTACTCGCGCGTTCGTTGGCTGCCTTCCAGTGAGAGAGGCGCTCACTCTCCCTCTCTCTCATCATCGATCCGTGCCTATCTGCAATATTTTGACGTTCGCCTGGCTTTTGCTCCATCAAAATTTAGCAAAACGTTGGCGCTGTGTGCTGTCTCTGCGGCGCAACAAGTTTTCAAGTTTCTCGAGAAGGTCTCCGTCTCCCCACTAAAGCAATAACATCAGCAACATCAACAGCGTTCAAAGTGTGGCAGATCTCGTTCGGGTGTCCGCAAGTCCGTGTATCCGTGTGCGCGAGTGCGATTGATTAACAACATTTTAATATTATATAAATTGATTTTGGAGCCTCAATTGTATTGCTCTTGCGACACCAATTAGTAACGGGGAATAAGCGAGGCACTCATCTGACCCACTGAGCTAGTGCAAGTGTGTGCGTGTGTGTGTGAGTTTATGTTGTGAAATCCCCGTAGAGTGAATCACAATAAATAACTGTACCCAAAGGACAAAAGGAACAACAACTGTAACAAAAACTCTGTGTAAGTATCAATAATAAACAGTTTTGGAGCATAAGAAAAGCGTGCAAGTGGATATGCATAGCAATAAAAGGGAACAGTTCTGTAGAATTATGGCACGTACACATGTACATTAGACTCCAGAGTTTTACTTTCATTGGAACAGACATTGATCGATTTTAATGGAAGCCCAGCTATTTATTTGGAAAATACTATCTTATTCCATAAACTTTTCCACTGCAAAATGTGTGTGCTGTACGGAATGGCAAGCTGCAATTGCTCAGAACCGATATCTATCCCCTAGAAATGCCACTCAAATTTACATAACAGGCAGGTATAGAACAGAGTCCAGCCGGACAGCCTGGGGCGTGTGCCTCATGCAATGCTCGTACTCGTGTATCCAGCGCCAGGCGGAGTCTATAGTCATTTATCTTATCTAACCCGAAGGTTGGGCCCCCAACTTATTGTTGTGTGGAATTCTGATTTCAGACACTGTTTTGTGTGAACTTTTTGAACTGGAAATGCAAATGTCTGAAAATATGAGCATTAGTTGGCTTTTGTCTGGACAGCTAACGCCAGCCAGAGGGGTCAGAGGGGCCATCAGATCGTTAAGAAATGTTCAGTGGAAGCTGCCAGTTATTGAAAAGTGCTGAAGGGCGGCCATTAAAGGGGGGCAAACTTCACCATTCATTTCCCATAAATACATATTGCCTTATCCTCAAAGCTTTTGTTTCATATCTATATGTATGTAAGTGGGTGTGTCAATCAATTATATCGTTGACATTTAGCCATTCCACGCTGGTTAATCTAATCAATGGCATAATTGTAATTGGCTTTGTTTGGTTTTCATGCCTCAGTGGGGCCTGAATAATGAATGCTGATTACAGTAATTGCAGAGCTCTCGTTGTAAAAGTTTCCAGTGATAAGATAGAGCCCAACATATTGCAGCTAGAGTCTTTCCAATTGTGTTTCATTGGGAATCATAATGAGTCATGAAGGAAACTATTTCCCACTTGATCAGCAATTTCTACACACTAACAAAAGGTTTATGAACCCCACACACGAAGCTCTGGCAGAACTCAAAAGCTCTTTGCTCAGCGTAAACATTCCGCCGAAAACTCGTTTCTTTGCGGATCGTGTGACCTTGTAGACAGTCCAGCATACCATCATACCATCATACCCCAAGCAGACCCTCTTTGGGTTTTGTATATCCATTAGCTATGTAATTTTCAAATTGCAAGAGACAACTATCGCATTTCCAATGAAATTGTGTACGAAAGCTTTTCCAGCTGTTTCTGAACTTCGCAGCTGTTGGCCAGACACGAAACCAATTACTCCACGCTCTCGCTCTCTCTCTTTCGCTGACACTCTCTAAGCTTGCGGCAATTGCGCGCTCACCTTAACCGTTAACCGTTTCGAGCTTTCGGCCAAGTGTACGCAGTTTAGTTAATATTATTAAGTAAAGAGACGGCAACATTGTCGCAACGGTTTGCTGAATCGCGCGCGTGCACCTCTTACAGATCGCTGATCGCTGTGGGCGAGGAAGAGTGTGGAGTGTCTGCAGAGAGCTTTCGGCGGGGGGGCTCGAGCGTATGTCAGTGTCAGTGTTACGGTTTTTTGTACCTGTTATTGTTTGTGTATGAGTGTGTATGCGTGCGAGGTGTCTTCATTTCTTGTTCTTTCGCTTTTGTCGCAGTAGCGTGGCAGTATATCTCTCGCTCGCTCTCTTTCTTTCTTTAATGCGACGTCGCGCTAAATACTGTTCTGCAATTTCCGTTAGTCGGCAGCGGCAAAATGTAAACAAAGAGACAGAGAGCGAGAGAGAGAGAGAGATAGGAAGAGCAAGAGACTTATCAGCCAAAAACGTGGTTAATCCAATAAAATCGAAATATCTGTGTGAAGAAGTGCAGCATTGATGTGAATCTCTGAGATACAATCAACAGTTGGGGGAAATATGTGCCAAAACTCAATTGCAATTACAATTACAATTACTGCCACATTTTATGGCCTGCTTTAATCAGCTAAACTTTTGGCGAGGGGTGAAAAATATGAAAATAAAATCCATAGACACATTGTGGCACAGTGTGGGTGTGTGTTGTGCAAAATATTTATGAGCTGGAAGCACCAAAAGCAAAAGATACAAAGATACTTACACATAATATTGGTATCTGTGAGCAGCCAAAGAAATATTGGTGTGCGTTCACGTAAAGATAACAACAAAATATTGTGATAAAAATTCAATTAATTCATTTCCAATGCTGACAGTCTCCCACAAAAAGATAAGATAGAGCCGCAAGAAATTGCAGTGCATATAAATAAAATGAAGCAAAGCAAAGCGTAGACAAAAGGAGTACAAATCAAAATTAACAATTTAATCAAATATTATTAAACACAAATAAAAAACTTGAAACAAAGAAAGATAAGCAGAAAAGTGAGTTACAGTAAATAAATAAAATGTGAAGCCATAAACCAAACAAAAGCTGTGCAAACTTCATTAATATTTGATTGAATACAATGTTTATCTATTGGACAAACAATTTGCTGGCATCGAACATTTCTCTTAATTGTTGGTTAATAGCAGAGCACTGGGCTCTCCCCCATGGACTGCCCAGCACCACGTCAATCTGCCAGTGGCTACCATTAATTAGTGTATATGAATGCAATATTAAACATTTCTGGTTTAATTAGCTGCCCCCGGGGCCCTCACTGAACGGCCTGAAACCAACCGAAACCGTTTACAGATGCACACCGCAAATGCAAAATGAATTGCAAACGACAGTCGAGTCAGAGCAGAGGAATCAAGCCAAAAAAACGCATACCAAAAATAAAATAAAATACAAAAATATCAAGTCTATTGATACATAAATAAATTACGCTACGCTACGCACCAAATCCCGCGATGGCCAAGTCCACGGATGTCCACCACAATGAGGAGCTGCAGCTGCAGCTGCAACCATCCACGGAGGCGGCAGCGGCAGCGGCGGTGGCGGCAAACTTGCAGCATTTGCAGGTGCGACGTCATCGCCGCAGCATCTCACAGCTGATGGCCAGCATGGGTAAAAAGAATTCAAATACGCTAAAGCTGAAGTGACATAATTCTAGCAAACAGCAAGAGATGTAAAGATGGAGATAGAAACAGCAGAGATACAGATACAGTCTTAGATCACTCAGGTCTTTGGTTGAGGAGTGTCTAGGTATGGGCGCATGGCTGTATTTATAAGATTCTGCGTCATATCCGCGGCGTGTGTTCAGCATGAGATAAGATTGAACCAGTTTGCTTTTCAGGCGGCTCTTATATAACTGGTTTTATTCTTCTTGATTTTGTGTGTTGTGAAAGTGAGACCAGAGTGTGACACTATGGGTTCTATGTGTTGTCTCTTAATTGCTAGAACTAGCACCCGCAACCCCCTTTTAGTGGCTCGTACCTTGCCTTCGAGTGGCATTTCCTTTTGGCTTATATAAGCCACCCGAAACCTTCTGAAGTTGCGTGTTGGTGCCAGCCTAACGGTGCCCCATTAGTCACTGATTCATAGCCGCACATTGAAAATTCATTGCACGCCAAAAGGCTACAACACAGCCATAACCATAAAGCTATATACCATATACACTCTCGTATTTACAGCACTTGCGCCACCTGTTTTACATTTACACACAAATAATGCAACAGGAAGTTTCGATTTCTTTGGCATTATGTGTAGGTCAGATCAAAATAATCGTGCCACAGGGTTGAAAGACCCCAACCAGGGAGACACGGCAACGATTAAAGCCAACCACTAAACAAAAGGCACTACAAATGTGACTAAAAGGGCATTTTAAGACATGGGCATGCCAGCTCATTTGTTGCATCAATTTATAAATTATTCTTTGGCTTTTGTAGAAATATATTCTTATATTTAGAAATTTGTACAAAATAATTATTGATCTTTCGTGTATCGTCAGAGCTGTGCACTATTTATGGGAGAATACTAAATGTATTTCCTTGAGCTGGAGTTCGCTATGCCCTTGCTGAATGTAGAATTCAGGGAACAAAGTCTTATCGCTGGCAGAAATGTTTCCATTGGGTGTCACAAAATGGACAACTACGCAAATTACAATTTATCCACGAGGTTTTTTCTTTCATTTGCTTATCAGACGAAACCCCCAAAAGCCGTACCCCAAAATATTTTCGTTTTCCTTTGTTGAATAATGCTCATTTTTGGACCTGCTGCACAGTTTGTTTTATTATTATATTTTGGTTTTTAGAGTCGGAAATGTGTTAATAAATTGGCCAAAGATGAAAGTGAAATAGGTGTGAGGTCTTTAGGGCTGTTAAGTTTAATGGGCCACGATTGAAGCAGCGTGGAGACACAGGTTGTTCAACCTTACGTATACCACATGAATTTTCGCCCATTTATATGCACAATTGAAGCTATTAATTTAGGTGAATTCTTCAGTTGGATTCCGCTTTTTATCGCCTTTCAAGACTCACCTAAGAGCTCTTTTGTTTTCAATACTGAGCGCTGATAACTGAACGAACGTTGGGTTCCGATAAGCCACAATCAGCCACATTTTATGACACCTTTCCAGAGTATTTTTGAACTTGCAAGAACGTCTAGCGGGCAGGGAGAAATAAGTCGTAACAAGTCCAAGAGGTTTAGGGCCATTTCCCAACAAAGACCTTCGCATAGATAATGTCTGGAAGGTGAACCCATAAAGTCATATATCTTTGTAGGACTTGCACTTGAAATCGATTCTATATTTAGTCGATAAAAACAGGGGCAACCACTGGATACGGATACATACGGCATGGTTGGGTTGTGGTGTACACCTGTTCCAAGGGCTATCTGCTAATCAAAGCCACTCGACTAAATACTGATTTTTGTAGTTTATTGCTATCGCTAATAGATACCAGCACGCACTTCCTTTGTGTCCAATGTGCGTCTGTGCGGGTGTATGCCACAAGTTCGAAACGATTTGCATTTGATATATGGTTGGGGAATTGTATTCTCACCTACTGTGTAGGTACACCACAATCTATTAGCCATTCCTGCAGTGTCAATCCATGGGTTTATGGTGTACTTAGTGTTTGATAAGAGATACAGTGGTAACTGGGGCAGGTGGAAACGCTACAACTAGAGTCTTTTGTGGGTCTAGGTTTAGCCCGCTCGTTTTACTATTTAACTCGCTGTAAACTTTATGGTTTATTGGCATAATATGCATATAATTATTGCACTTTATCTACCATCAATTAGGCATCTCTCTTTTATTTTAAAGCAGCACTTAAAAGTTTAAAAGTGTGTGGTGTAAATACTTACTAGATATAGGCACAATTCCAGGGAGTTATCAGCTTTAGAGCTACATGTTTGCATGGCCCAAAATAGACTCAAGGTTCGGGCAGAGTTCGGGTTCAAGTTCAGACACTGACAATTACACCTGCTGCCACGGCATTGATGGTGGGTTGGGGGGTCTGAGGCTGCTGTTTCGAATGAAGTTATCGTGAAATTTAATTATTACAATTAACACGTGCTCCAGCAGATTGAAAGGTTAACGACAAACAGAAACCAGAAGTCAAGTTTAAACTCGAAAAGACTAACTTCGAAGGTGTTGGAAAGCTTTACAAATAAATATTACTAAGGCAGATGTAGCTACAGCGAGGAAGTACCCTTTGTAAGGGTATTACATTTAATGGCAAATAAAACAAAGTAATACCTGGGGTTGAGTCAGCGGCTGGCACTTCACTCTTCCATCCATCGATAGGCGGTGTATTTAGAACTTTAGTTGGAAAAACAAACTCAATTTGAACTAATTGAAAATCAGCAACAGAAGTTGTGCAGGAGAGGCAGCGGTAGAGGTAGCTCTCGAGTGCAGAAATATTTGATAAGACGCCGCAGCAATTGGCACACTAAAGTGGCTTTTGCTTTGGTTGCTGCAACATCAGACTTTATTCTAAAATTGTTTTTTTCCCTTCTCCTTTTGCAGCTGAATATCCCGCGGATGATGTTTATCGGCCCACGCATTTTGCGGGCTACGTGAATCGTGGCTACGATGACATAGACAGTTCCTATTACTTTGCCCAGTTTGAGGCCATGACGGAGGTGCGAAATGGCGCGGCCCTGCCGCCGTATGCCAATGATTCGGATGCCGATGCCTCAGGCAACGAGGAGAACCGCAACGAGGAGGAGGAGGATGATGATGACGACCAGGATGAGGAGGACGATGATCAAGATCGCACGGACAATGGCACCGTGGTGGAGCATCAGAATCGCTGCCTGCCCGAATTTCAATTCTCGCTGGTCGACTCGGAGTACGATGAGACGCTGGCGTTTCCCGACTCTGTCACCATTCTGTCGAATGTCGGGGATAAGCCGGTGCTGGTGCAGCGCAAGGAGACAACCGACGACGATGACGAGGAGTACGATGATGATGAGAACAACAGCGTCGTGATGCGCCAGGAGATACCCTTCACGAGCATCTACGGGCCGAGTGTGAAGTTTAATTCGTTTCAGCGAAAAGTCTTTATACCCGGACGGGAGATTCATGTGCGAATTGTGGACACGGAGCGCAGTGTGACGACACATCTACTGAATCCCAATCTGTGAGTACAAATCACAAACAAAGAAGTTCACTTCTCACGACAGTTCTATCCCCTGTAGCTACACCATTGAGCTCACCCATGGACCCTTCAAGTGGACCATCAAGCGGCGCTACAAGCACTTCAATTCGCTGCATCAGCAGCTGAGCTTCTTTCGCACCTCGCTGAACATACCCTTCCCCAGCCGCAGTCACAAGGAGAAGCGCACAACTCTTAAGGCAACAGCCAGCCAGATGGCCGATGAGTCCACGCTGAAGGATCTGCCGGCGCACACCAAGCAGGTGAAGCAGACGAGCACGCCGCAGAGTCAGCGCCAACCCAATGGCCACCAGAATGGACCCTTAACCATTATCAGTCCCAGTCACAGTTCCATACTCTCGGGCCTCAATCCGCGGCGCATTCAAAAGAAGCGCAAAAAGAAGAAAAAGAAGAAGCTGCCGCGTTTCCCCAATCGACCGGAGAGTCTGGTGACTGTGGAGAATCTGGGCGTGAGGATCAAGCAGCTGGAGGATTATTTGTACAATCTGCTAAACATTAGTTTGTATCGCTCGCATCACGAAACGGTAAGCGAGCAGCAGCGAGAAGCTACCACTCGAAAGGGTCTTGAAGTTCTCTCTCCCTCTTGCAGCTCAACTTTGTGGAGGTCTCCAATGTGTCATTTGTGCCTGGCATGGGCCTCAAGGGCAAGGAGGGCGTAATACTCAAGCGCACGGGTTCGACGCGACCGGGCCAGGCGGGCTGTAACTTTTTTGGCTGCTTCCAGAAGAACTGCTGCGTGAGGTGCAACTACTTCTGCTCGGATGTGGTCTGTGGCACGTGGCGCAATCGCTGGTTCTTCGTAAAGGAAACGTGTTTCGGGTACATACGCCCCACCGATGGCAGCATACGCGCTGTAATCCTGTTCGATCAGGGCTTTGATGTGTCCACGGGCATCTATCAGACGGGCATGAGGAAGGGTCTGCAGATACTCACCAACAATCGGCACATTGTGCTCAAGTGCTGGACAAAGCGCAAGTGCAAGGAGTGGATGCAGTATCTGAAGCACACCTCCAACTCCTACGCACGCGACTTTACGCTGCCCAATCCGCACATGTCCTACGCCCCGATGCGCGCCAATACACAGGCCTCGTGGTACGTGGACGGTGCCCAGTACATGTCCGCCGTTGCCGATGGCCTCGAAGCGGCCAGCGAAGAGATTTACATTGCCGACTGGTGGCTCAGCCCCGAGATTTACATGAAGCGACCCGCGCTGGACGGGGATTACTGGCGACTGGACAAGATTCTGCTGCGCAAGGCCGAGCAGGGTGTGCGCGTGTTTGTGCTGCTCTACAAGGAGGTGGAAATGGCGCTGGGCATCAATAGTTACTACAGCAAGTCCACGCTGGCCAAGCATGATAACATCAAGGTGCAGTATTTGCCACGGAATATCCTTTGAGAAATGATTTCAACTTTGTTCTCTTTGCTTAGGTCATGCGGCATCCGGATCATGCACGCGGTGGCATTCTGCTGTGGGCGCATCACGAGAAGATTGTGGTAATTGATCAGACGTATGCGTTCATTGGTGGCATTGATCTGTGCTATGGCCGCTGGGATGATCATCATCATCGTCTCACAGATCTGGGCAGCATTTCCACGGCCTCGGTGTCGGGCAGCACGCGTCGCACGCCCAGCGGCTACTTCAACAAGGACGATGTGGACTCGGCCTTTGGTTCGCGCAAGTCCTCAAGGAATGCGCACTACGAGACACCGCCCAAAGCGGGCAGAGCTGCCACGCCGGAGACGCTAGAGGAGCCACAACCCGCGCCAGCTGGCAACAACCTGGAGCTGCGGGTACTCAAGCCAGGAGATCGACTGTTAATACCCGCCATGTTGTCGCCAGGCGAGGATCCCGATGAGAACACCGCCCTGGAGGGAATGAAGCTGAACACACCCGAAATGGAGCGAAAGAACATGCTCGATCGGCTGAAGAACAACGCCATGAAGGGTGCGCGCATGGGCAAGGACTTTATGCATCGTTTGACAGCCAACGAGACGGCACTGGATGGCAGCAAGGAGAACGAACTGGAGCCAGAGGCTGGCGGTGGTATCTACAGCATAGACACTGTGAATGCCAGCAACATGGAACCCGACATGACCATGGCTTCGTCCTCCGCCACAGCTAATGCCACAGCCACGTTAACAGCCACAGGGACGGGGACCGCACCCGACAATGCCAACTCCACGCAAATACTCAGCGAATTCTATGGCCAGGCCAAGTATTGGTTCGGCAAGGACTACTCAAACTTCATACTCAAGGACTGGATGAACCTCAACTCGCCGTTTGTGGACATAATCGATCGCACGACGACACCGCGCATGCCCTGGCACGATGTCGGCATGTGCGTGGTGGGTGCTTCGGCGCGGGATGTGGCCCGTCACTTTATACAGCGCTGGAACGCCATGAAGCTGGAGAAGCTGCGCGACAACTCACGCTTTCCCTACCTCATGCCCAAGAGCTATCATCAGATACGCCTCAACTCGCAGCTGCAACAGCTGCAGCAGCGACGACAGCAGCGTGTCACGTGCCAGCTGCTGCGCAGCGTCTCCGCCTGGAGTTGTGGCTTCATCGAGGCCGATCTGGTGGAGCAGAGCATACACGATGCGTACATCCAAACGATCACCAAAGCGCAGCACTATGTGTACATTGAGAATCAGTTCTTCATTACCATGCAGCTGGGCATGGGCGTGCCGGGGGCCTACAACAATGTGAGGAATCAGATTGGCGAGACACTCTTTAAGCGCATTGTGCGAGCTCATAAGTAAGTGGGAAGCAAGTCGTCGAATGTCAACAGTTCTGTAAAGCTTCTTCCCTTCCTTTCAGGGAACGCAAACCCTTTCGTGTTTATGTGATAATGCCACTGCTACCTGGTTTCGAGGGCGATGTGGGTGGCAGCACGGGCATCGCAGTCAGGGCCATTACCCACTGGAACTATGCCTCCATTTCCAGGTGATTATTGTTTACATTTCTAGCTCCATAGTTGCTGCAACTCTTTCGTTTAAGGGGACGCACTGCCATACTGACGCGCCTGCAGGAGGCTGGCATTTCGGAGCCGCACAATTACATCTCATTCCACAGTCTACGCAATCATTCCTTCCTGAACAACACCCCGTGCTCAGAGCTGATTTATGTGCATTCCAAGCTGCTCATTGCCGACGATCGTGTGGTCATCTGTGGCTCTGCCAACATCAACGATCGCTCGATGATCGGCAAGCGCGACTCGGAGATTGCGGCCATCATTATGGACGAGGAGTTCGAGGATGGCCGCATGAATGGCAAAAAGTATCCGAGTGGCATCTTTGCCGGTCGCTTGCGAAAGTATCTCTTCAAGGAGCATTTAGGTGGGTTGTGCCAGAAGCTCCTTCTGACTTTTAACTAACTTTTTGTCTTTGCAGGACTGCTGGAGGGCGAGAGCGAGAGCTCGGCGCGCTCTGACCTAGACATCAGTGATCCCATTTGCGACAAGTTCTGGCACGGCACTTGGCGACAGATCTCCACGCGAAACACGGAGATCTACGACGAGGTGTTCAAGTGCATTCCCACGGACTTTGTCAAGACATTCGCCAGTCTGCGCAAGTACCAGGAGGAGCCGCCGCTCTGCAAGACCGATCCAGAGCAGGCCGCCAATCGGGCCGAGGAAATTCAGGTAAAACCAAACACCGATCCCACGCCAATCCTCGACTTGTATCTAATTTGTGTCTGTGCTTTGTAGGGCTTTCTGGTCGACCTGCCATTGGAGTTCCTCAACAAGGAGGTGCTCACACCGCCGGGCGCCAGCAAAGAGGGCGTTCTACCTACCTCTGTTTGGACATAGTCCCTGCCAAAAGTCTCCAAGACGCCAACTAGTTCGTAGTCCCCCGTAGATTATACCCACTCCCCACCAAAATGCGTTGTTTGCCAAGTCATAAATTGTTTTAACTTAGATCTAGATCTGGTAGATCTACACTACCATTAGATTGTACGATTTGCCCCTAGGATACCTCGTAACTAATTTATTATTTTAAACTGTTTGTCCTGGTACACTAGAGATCCTATTTGTTATCTATCTTCCTATCCCCTTTTTTTTATAATGTTTATACAGTATTTTAGACAATTTAAAGCGCTAGTGTTTTTTATTAAAGTGATATATGGATTGAAAGTAGACGAGAAAGATGTGATTTACATATGTGTCTGGTATTGGGGAGAAATTTGGATATTTACTTGTAATAGTGTGATATGTTGGGAGGCGGGTTACCAAATTTGGTTGCTTTAGCTCTTATCGTTACCGAGATATATGTACCTGTTTCCCCACATTCCTTCCCTATGATCGTGCTATGTTTTTCTACATGCATATATTTGACATACATACATATGTATCTTACACGACAATGAGTTTGCTTACTTACAAGAGCTGACAGGCATTGCATCTGGGATCTGGCAGAGAGAATTTCCCCGGTCGTTTAGCAACAGGAGAGAATTTCCCTGACCTAGCAACAGGAGAGAATTCCCATGTTTTGGCTGTTTCTAGCTTTTGCAAAGTGCCAACACTATCTGCATTATTTCGCACTCTCTTGGTTCGGTTCGTATTCGCGTCTTAAAAGTGCGCAAAATATTGTAAAAACATCGCGAATATGTGAAAAGTGCAATGGAAAAATTAATTAAATTAGTGTTTTAGTAAATATCATTATTTTTGTAGTGCATATGCTTGTGTAACGCCACAAAACAGTGCAAATATAATGTGCATACATGTGAAGTCAACTTTTTGCCGCAAATTTGTGTTCCTGTTCCCGCCGTTTTTCAACATTCGCAGCTAAAGGCGTTCATTACTAAAGGTACGATATTTCATTGATTTAAATGTTTGTTAGTCGTATTACTAAATACAAGAAAGCGCCGCTATTTATGTAGAAATGTAGAAAAGTGCCAATAAGAACAAAATCATGGTGCAAATACACAAACAAGTTCAGATTCCACAAGTAAACACACACACATTAATGCATGGCACCAAAGTGCGCTCTTCTCTTTGGATCTCTCATTTTTTGCATTCTTACTCTCTTTCGGTTGCATCACATCACAATAACTTTGCGTGCAAAGTCAAACACACACGCTACACGCAGAGAGACATAATAAAAGCACGTGTTGTCTTTGATTTTTGTGTTACTTCTTTGTTGCTCTTTCACATGACCAGTTTTTTGTGTTTGCGCTCATGACGTGATTTGAGTGGGATTTTGTGTGAGGGAGAAGAAAAAACAGCAGAAACAAAGTCAAATTGTGTGCTCTTTGTGTTTTAAGTAAATACAATGTCTGAATATCTGACCCGTGGAAAAACGATCAAGAGCATTGGCTCTAATGATTTGTTTGAGTGGATTTGTTTGTTTAAGCAAGAACAAAGAGTGCGAATAATCTCTGAAAATTACTTTTGTTTGTGTTTGCTTTTCTCTCTCCGCTGTCCCTCTTTCACCCGTTTTGTCATCTTTCCATTGCTTGTCTGATAACAGTTAATGTACATAAGCACTCGAAATGTGTATGGGCATATTTTCTTATACGCTCTCTCTTTATTTTGCTTTCTTCGTTCGTATTATTATTCTTCTTGTTTTTGGGCTGACATAGGCTCTTCTCTAGCAGTGCTGGCACTTATTGGTGCAACATAATGAGCTATAATTTAGCGGTAAAAAGCTGACAATATCTGTTCCCATTAGATGTAGTTTCAGCGGATTATTGTTTGTGGGAAAAAGCAGAATTGTCATCACTATTTCAGTATTTACTCTTTCGTTTTCGGTGTGGGCCGCTTGGCTTTTTGTTTTGTTTCGACGTCCGTCTCGCTGCCTGAACTGCAATCAAAAGCAAAGCGTGGGCTTTATAACAATTAATTAAATTAGCTTTAGTAGCTCTTGGCATAATGGGGTTGGTGTGATTGTCATTGGAGGAGGCTCGAAATATTCATATTTCCGCACCCCTCCGAAATGCCCACTACAGTTCCGATATGCACACCACTCCCCCTACCCCCCGCACTTGTTTCGGTTGACTAAACGTTATGTACTGCCCCCCTCCCCAATGTGGCAACCAACCGGTTTGTGATCTTTACTGGAACCGTTTTACTACTTTTACCATTTATTTTTGTCGAACTATTCTTTTCGCTCTGCTCTTCCATTAGTTCCCACACATATCAACAGGTAGTGCTGTTGCACAGTGGGTGCAGCGGGTGTGTCGTGTCGTGAGTTGTGTGCGTGAACTTACCACCTACTCGCGGACACATGGACACGGACTACCAAATGTTGAACTTCCCCCCAGAAGTTCACACACATCTAAGCACACATCCACAGAGTACACACACACACGCAGCACTACACGCGATATGTCTGTGGCGCAACAACCGGCCCCACAGTTTGGTGTGTGGCAAGGGATGGGAACGGGGAAGGGGAACGGCAAACCTGCTGCCGCTGCACAGAAATCAAAAGTGAACATCGCGTCGCTTGCACATTGCCTTCCCCACAGCCCTGCCCCACAACCCCACCGCACCCCACCCTCTGCCCTAGTGAGGCGCCAAACGAAGAGTCAAAAGCAACAGAAAGAGCACGAAACGCAGTTCGTTGCCTTCGGTTTGGTCGTTCGCGTTCCGCTCGTTCTTTCGTTTCGTCTCTTGCGGCTCGTATCTTGATTTCTGCCCGGTTCTAGTTGGCTAAAGCCGTTCGTGTGGGGCTCGTGTTGGGGCTCGTTGCAGCTCGGCCTGGCTCTCGGTTGGGGCTCGGTTGGCGCTCGGTTGTGGTCGTCTCCCACTCCAGTTAGTCGGCAGCAGGCAGAGCATGAGGCAGGCACCGCGCAGCTTTTTTGTCCCGTTTGTTGCCACAGATCGCAGTTTTTTTCGCAAGCGCTTTTGTTTTGGATTCGATGCGTTTCGATTCGTTTCGACTCGAATCGACTCGAGATTCTGTGTTGCATGACAATTTGCGGTAATTAAAAGGAGACGAGCAAGGAGCACGCAAAGCAGGGTGGAATTATTAATAGAGCTTACGGTCAATAGCTAGCTCATGCTCCCTCTCCCACTCTCCTTCGCTCTCTCTCTCTCTCTCTCTCTCTGAAGTGATAAGAAAACCCAACAAGTTTTGTGCGTGTGTGTCAGTGTACTGTGGAATGCATTTGATTAGATTTGTTTTTGTTTGTTAAACAAATGTCTCCCCCCCGCACTTCCTTTGCCAATCTCCTGCACCCCGTCTCGGTCGCCCTGTGCATAATTTACTAAACAAAAGCAAAAGCTTAACACAATCATTTCTGCGAGAACCGGTTCATTAAATACCCGTGCATATACTCGTTTCGGCATCGACATCAACGGCAGCAGCAGCAGCAGCAGCAGCAACGGCAGCGGTAGACATCGTTTGTCGTTTTCCTTCTTTCGGTGTTCGGGTGTTCTTCGGTGTTTCCCTCGGTTCTTTGGGGCGTTTTCTTATATAGTTTTTGTGCCACTCTTGCAGAATTCTACTGCGCGTGTGCACCGGAAACAAAACGACACAACGATCGACCGACCGACGGAACGACGGTCTCCCGATCTGATCTGCCATTCACATAAAAAGCCATAAAGTCCGTTGATAAGAGAAACCCCCAAATAAATCGAAACGAAATCAAATCTTGCAACGTTTGCCAACTTTCGTAGCGGAATGCTGATTGTGTGAAATATCAATCGGGCAGGGGGCATGATTGACCAACGAATGTGTGTCATATCGAAGTGCAGCCAGCCAGCCAGAACGACAAAATATTCCCCCCAAATAAATATGAGAATTTAAATGAATTTCATTTGAATTTCAGTTGGAAAATAAATATAAATATTTGTGTGTAATCCGAGTGACCAGAGTGCCATCATCCGTAATGGATGCCAATGTTTACGTTTATCGGGAGCGAGATGCAGTTTAAGGCCAGACTATTTGCTGAATAAAGCTGTTTTTATAGATCTCTTTTACTCGGATTAGGGCTACGGACTGTGAGTCATGAGAGTCATTAACGAACAATCCCAAATCGAAATCAATTAGGTTTTAGTGCTGCAAATCAATCAACGAAAAACAGCAGTTAACAGCCAGAAAGTAACAATAAAGAATGTGGCCTAAACACTTGAAAGGCCACAAAGGCCCACACCAAAATGGCAACTGTTGAACGCAATTAAAAGTACGGTTACTGCAACAAAAAAACCTGAAATAATATTGGCAAAAGCACACAACAACAAAAATACAAACAAAAATAAACAGAAATACAGATAGAAAGAAGAAAAAGAGTAGGAAAAACGAAAGAAAATGTCAGCCCCACAGCCAAAGGATACGGCATTAAAGACTAAAGAAACAGCAGTTGCAACACCACCAGCAGCCACAGGTCTGGCTGCAGTGCCGCCTCCGCCAACTGGCACTTCCACTGCCACTGCCCCAAAACCAAAAGCAACAGCAACAGCTTTGACGGGGCGGAAAACTTTAACCTCCAGTCGGGCATTGTCATTGTTTGATCAGCTGAAAAACGGCGTCAATTTAAACAGTTTAACAATTGGCGCCACAGCAAAAGCAAAAGCAACAGCAACAGCTATAGCCACTGCCACAGCATCCACACCCGCACTGGCACCGCCCCCAGTGCCCTTGCCACACTCGAATATCGATTTGAAGCCACCGGCCAAGCCGCCCCGTCAGTTCAGCCAGCCCAGCAGCATTGGCATTGTGCAGGGTACCAAAAGGGGAGCCAACGGAGATGGAGCGGGCGCTGCTGCCACACAGTCATCCGCCGTGGATATAAACGCACTGCGATCTCAGCTCTATCAGGGCGCCGCAGGAAGAGGAACACCAGCAGCAACAGGAGGAGCCACACAAGGAGGAGCCGCGGGCAGCGCAGTAGGAGCCACAGGAGAGCGGGGAAGAGGCACAAAGAAGCGTTGCCTGGATCGATACGATTCGTCAGAGTCATCCGACAGGTGAGTGACTGAGTGACTGATGGAGAGGTGTGTCGCCGGGTAATGCGGAAATGGTGTAAAGCGTATCTGTCAGATACGCAGGGGGGGGGGGGGGTTGGCAGATGCAATAAATCAGTGATGCATTTGTCCCAATCAGCAATCGGTGGAATCGTGGCAACAGCATGTTCAAAGTTGTCCATAAAGATGCTAATCGCTGGCCCGTGCCAAATGTAAATATCTCGTAG